AGTTCCAACCCCCCTGCCTAGCAGGGCCACCAAACGCACACATTCAGATCAGGTTGCCCAGGACCCCGTCCAACCTGGCCTTGAACACGTCCAAGGACGGGGCATCCACGACCTCCCTGGGCAGCCCGTTCCAGGGCCTAACCACTCTCCTTGTAAAGAACTTCCCCCTAACATCCAACCTAAATCTTCCCTCCTTCAACTTGGATCCATTTCCCCTAGTCCTGCTGTTGTCAGCCCTTCTGAAGAGTTTACTCCCCTCCTGGGTGTAGGTTCCCTTCAGGTATTGATAGGCTGCAATGAGGTCACCCCGCAGCCTTCTCTTCTCCAGGCTGAACAAGCCCAACTCCCTCAGCCTGTCCTCATAGGGGGGGTGCTCCAGCCCCCTGATCATCTTAGTCGCCCTCCTCTGGACCCTTTCCAAGATCTCTATGTCTTTCTTGTACTGAGGGCTCCACACCTGGACACAGTACTCCAGATGGGCCTCACAAGAGCCGAGTAGAGAGGGACAATCACCTCCCTGTCCCTGCTGACCACCCCTCTCCTGATGGAGCCCAGGATCCCATTTGCCTTTCGAGCTGCCAGAGCGCACTGCTGGCTCATGTTCAGTCTCTCGTCCATCAGGACCCCCAGGTCCTTCTCTGCCGAGCTGCTCTCAAGGACCACTCCTCCCAGCCTGTACGGGTGCCTGGGGTTCTTCCGGCCCAAATGCAAAACCTTGCACTTTGCCATGTTGAACCTCATTAGGTTCACCTGAGCCCAGCCCTCAAGCCTGTCGAGGTCCCTCTGAATGGCATCCCTTCCTTCCACCGCATCAACCGCACCACTCAGCTTGGTGTCATCAGCAAACTTGCTGAGGGTGCACTCAATTCCCTCATCGATGTCCTTAATAAAGATGTTAAAGAGCACCGGTCCCAAGACAGACCCTTGGGGGACACCACTTGTTACCGGCCTCCACCTGGACATAGAGCCATTGACCACCACCCTCTGTCTGCGGCCTTTCAACCAATTGCTTATCCATCGGGTCGTCCACCCATCAAATCCACTTCCCTCCAATTTGGAGATGAGGATGTGGTGGGGGACCATGTCAAAGGCCTTGCTCAGGTCCAGGTAAATGACATCGGTTGCCTTCCCTTCGTCCACCAATGCCGTCACTCCATCATAGAAGGCCACAAGATTAGTCAGGCATGACCTTCCCTTGGTGAAGCCGTGCTGGCTGTCTCGGATCACATGCTCATTCTTTATGTGATCGAGCATGTTGTCCAGGAGGATCTGTTCCATGATCTTCCCAGGCACGGAGGTGAGACTCACCGGCCTGTAGTTCCCCGGGTCCTCCCTGCTCCCCTTCTTGTATATGGGAGTGACGTGACCCTTCCTCCAGTCATCTGGGACCTCACCTGACAGCCACAACTTTTCAAATATGATGGAGAGCGGCTCGGCAACCACCTCAGCCAGCTCCTTCAGGACCCTGGGATGCACGCCATCTGGCCCCATAGACTTGTATTCATTCAGTCTAAGGAGGTACTCTCGGACTTGCTCTGCCCTTACAGTGGGGAGGGATTTACCTCCTTGGTCCCCACATAGAGGTTTGGGGATGCAGGGTTCATGGACGTGAAGAAGACTGGAATCCTGGCCACCAGTGAAGACCGAGGTGAAGAACTCATTCAGCACCTCAGCTTTCTCTTCATCTGTTGAAGCCAGTTCTCCTTTTAAATTTACCAAAGTAGGTACGCCCGTTTTGGCCTGTCTCTTCTGGCCAATGTACCTGTAGAAGGTTTTCTTATTGTTTTTCACGTCCCTTGCCAAGTTCAGTTCTGCCTGCGCCTTGGCTTCCCTGATCCCATGTCTGCAAGTCCGGATGGCGTTCCTGTACTCTTCCCAGGTGACACAGCCTTGTTTCCAGAGCTTGTACACCCCTTTCTTTGCCCTCAGTTCTCTCAGCAGGTCCTTGCTGAGCCATGCTGGTTTCCTACCTCGCCTGCCCACTTTCTTATTCAGAGGAATGGAGACCTCTTGTGCTTCCAGGAGGGCATCTTTGAAGAGCCGCCAGCTCTCCTCAACATCCCTGTCTTTGAGGGCAGCGCGCCAGGGGATCTTGGCCAGCAATCCATTGAGTAGCTTGAAGTCTGCTTTTCTAAAGTTCAGTGTCCTGATCCTGCTCTTTGCCAGGTCCACATCGCTTGAGATCACAAACTCAACCAGGGCATGGTCGCTGGAGCCCAGGCAGCCTCCAATCTTGACGCCTTTGATGATCTCCTCGGCGTTGGTAAGCAGCAGGTCTAGCAGCGCTTCACCTCTGGTCGGTCTGTCCAATACCTGAACCAGAAAGCTATCGTCAATGGATTCCAAGAGCCTTCTGGAGCTCTTGCAGCTTGCCGTGTGGTTTTCCCAGCAGATGTCCGGATGGTTGAAGTCCCCCACCAGGACAAGAGCCCGTGAGCCAGACATCTCACACATCTGGAGCAAGAAAGCCTCATCAACAGCCTCCCCTTGATCAGGTGGTCTGTAGTATACCCCTAACACCAGCTGACCTATATTAGTCCCATCTTTAATCCTAACCCACAGGCTCTCAACCTGTTCCTGACTGTTTCTCGTAGGGAGCTCCTCACAGTTTATCCAATCTCTGACATAGAGAGCAACTCCCCCACCCCTCCTACCTTGCCTATCTCTCCTAAAGAGTCTATAGCCGTCGATGGCAGTATCCCAATTGTGGGAGTCATCCCACCATGTTTCTGTGATAGCAACAATGTCATAACTTTCCGAGTGCATCACAGTTTCGAGTTCCTCCTGCTTGTTACTCAGGCTGCGTGCATTGGTATAAAGGCACTTCAGCCGGGCTATCCGTCTCTCCACCTTTATAAGGGATCTAGGATCCCCTAGAACAGGAGCATCCCCAGCATCCCCCTGCCCTAGTCCTTCCCTATGCACTCTGCCGTCATTGCCCATGGAGTTTGGTACAAGCCCTCGAATGACCTGTTCAACCCCAGTAGCCCTTATTTTGTCCCCTTCCCCCTTCATTCCTAGTTTAAAGACCTGTCAATGAGTCCCGCTAATTCTTCAGCTAAGATCCTCTTACCCCTCAGGGACAGGCTGCATGCATCAGCAGCCATCATGCCAGGTGCAGTATAAATTGCAGTATAAAGTAGTCTAATAATGGCCTCTCCTAACTATAAAATCAGTAAGGATAGAGCTAAAAAATGTCTTTCTCAAATAATTGGTTTTAATAGTACTGCAGGGAAAAAAATGTGGCTTAAATCAAGGGAACCACAGGAGAAAATTACAGTGGTCAATCTTACACATTGGGCTTCTGTGAGCTCTGAAGCCCAAGGGTGAATATAAGTTGTATGTGTTTGAACTGCAACGAATTTTCACAGTGTTTCATGTTTTGAATCAGGTTCATCATTTTCAGCAAAAGAGAGATTTGATCTCCATGATTTTACAGCTCCTGTTGAGCTAAGTCTAGGAAGTTTAATGCTTAATCCTAAGTGGAGTTCTGAGAAAGGGACAACTTCAGTGTTGTCTTGAGCTAGCTGTCACAAACATCAAAGTACTGTGTGTGTGAGTTGCTGTGTGTTGTTACTTGTTGCATGCTTCTTTTACTTCTGTTAGGGTTTCTGCTTGCAATGAGGCTAATAATATCTGTTCCCTAGAGTCAACCTGTTCCTCTTCCTTTTCCCCTCCTTCCCCCGCTCCCTACTCCAGCAAAGGTCATAGCCATGAGAAGTCTTTAGTACACAGATCTCCAGGCATGTAACTCATAATTCATCTGCTAGAATAGCATTGTCACAGTTCCCCATATAGAATGGCCTTCTCTTCCAAATTGAATGTTATTGGCCGGTTTCTTCTTCAAAATGCTCGGAATTTTTCAAAAGAAGATATTTTTGGTCTAGTCTTACTACATGTTTCAAACGATGGAATTGGTGTGGATGTAAAATCCGGCAACTTACCATGTGGCTTATTTTAAATCTTACCTCAAAATTGGTAGTTTGTCCACTGTATATTGTCTTCCTCCAGTATTAAAACAGTTACAAGTTCTGAGGGATTTTTATGTTAATCTGTCTCACATTAGTGTAATATGAATCTGAAACTTAAATTTTGGAATATTTGTGCTAAAACCATATTTAGAATTATTTTCAGGAATGCATCTGATCTTGAGATTTCAAGCAGTTCATCCAGTCCTTGGAAAGCTTTGTCAATGCCTACAGCGTCTGATGCACAGACTCAGATGTGAACTACCCAAATAGTTTATTACAAGTTCTCCCATCACTTACATACTTTCACAAGTTTTCTTTTTCTAGCTTTGCCATGTTTAAACCTTTTTTCTTTGTATGTAATTGAGAAATGTAATCAAGTAACATTGTTAAACTAAGTAGTTGTGTTATTTCAGGCTTTGCAGCAGCAGATTATCTCCCAGGCATGATCTGCTCTATGTAACTTTTTCATTCTGCATGTAAACCAGCAGTAGACCATTTCCACTGCCAGTGAATGTTTAGTAGTTCTCTTGCAGTGTTTGCTTGAATTCTATAAAGTAGCCTCATCCATACAGATTAAGTTGTGAGGACATTTTTTTCAGTGACTTTTAATGTATATTTGGGTGATGCTAAAACTCGTACTCTGAGAACTGAATTTTTTCCAATTACTTCTCCATGTTTCAACTAATCAGCAGTGCAGGTAGCGTTAATGTGTGAAGTACATGTCCTTGAAAATATTGTGTTCTTTTGTTTTGTCCTTTTGCCCTGCTGTATGCTTTTTGGCTGATGAGTAGGTATCATTGGTTTGAGATGTGTTTGGGCTGTGATTATTGCAGACAATAATGTGAGCAAGCCCTCAGTATTACAATAGCTGCCTGCAGAATTAGATCATTAATGGGCTCTGAGCAGTGTTAACTTTTTTCACTACACTTGTAAGCACAGAAGGTATACATATAATTCAGGATCTTTTCTGATGGAACCTTTTGTGCAGCATTCTTCCCCACTGATTATATATGAATCTCTTAACTCCAGGTACCTACTGTGGCTGCCCGCTTCAGCGCTCAGCTCTGCTGCACTGAAGAGTGAGGACTGAGTCCATCAAAGGCTCCTGCATCTGAGCTCCTGCCAGCACTGCAAGTGTAAGTGTATGCATAGCTTTATTCATAAGGTCAGATTAGTCATAATCAGGAGCAATAAGCATATATATGTGGTTACTGAGATTTGTTTTCTCACGTAAATCAGCTCTTACTTGTATGGTACCCCTTGGCTTTGAACACCTTCATTTCAGAGGGCACAGTAATCTCTGATGGCATTTCGCTGCTTGGGTCATGGGACTTGTGAAGAAGGTTCTGCAATCTAAGCCTAGAGTTAGGAAGAACTGTTTATTTTAAAAGTTGCTTAGCAAGTATTGGCAATAATCATATCCTGTTCATCTTTTCTTTAGAAGTAAAGTGCATCAAATTTTACTATTTCTAATGAAAACTGGTTGGAATGTTTTAATTTTCTTAATTAAAAAAAAGGAAAAAAGGATATTGTACATTTCTGGTATGTGCATGCTTATTTGATCTTTTCAATCCTTTCTGCTGTAGCTCACAAAGACTTTATGTATATTCTAAAGCGAAATATTTATGCTCCTGTGGTATATGCACTGTTGCTTAAATACATTTTGTAAATGTAATACTTGCAAGATACAGTTTACAGGTCCTTAGTATGATAGAATCATAAAATCATAGAATGGCCTGAGTTGAAAAGGACCTCAAAGATCATCTGATTTCAACCCCCCTGCTATGTGCAGGGTCGCCAACTACCAGACCAGGCTGCCCAGAGCCACATCCAGCCTGGCCTTGAATGCCTCCAGGGATGGGGCATCCACAACCTCCTTGGGCAACCTGTTCCAGTGTGTCACCACCCTCTGTGTGAAAAACTTCCTCCTCATATCTAACCTAAACTTTCCCTTTCTCAGTTTAAAACCATTCCCCTTTGTCCTATCACTATTCAACCTTGTAAACAGTCATTCCTCCTACTGTTTATACACTCCCTTCAAGTATTGGAAGGCCACAATGAGGTCTGCATGGAGTCTTCTCTTTTCCAAGCTAAACAAGCCCAGTTCCCTCAACCTTTTCATATAAGAGAGGTTCTCCAGCCCTCTGATCATCTTAGTGGCCCTCCTCTGGACCCACTCCAAGAGCTTCATGTCCTTCCTGTGTTGGAGGCCCGAGGCCTGGACGCAGTTCTCCAGATGGGGCCTCCCAAGAGCTGAGTAGAAGGGGACAATCACCTCCCTCTCCCTGCTGGTGACTCTTTTTTTAGTGCAACCCAGGATATAATTGCAGAATATAATTGCAGGATATAGACTGCAGACTTGGGAAGAGTAGAGTACTTTCCAAAGGTGTTTGAGTTGGTGGTGTTTCCAAATGATATGTGGGTTCTGATAACTTCCAATAACTGGGTTCTGTGAGATTGGCACAAGTTTTTTAGAAGAAGGTTTTGCAAAAAGGAAAAACAGAAGTAATATGTCAGTGTTTCACACTGTAAAGTTTACGTTAGATGTTTTGCAGCTCTCTAGTTTAGACAGGTAAGGGTTTAAGAACATGCTTGACTTCGTGAGTCATGTGTGATATACCTGTTTAAATGCATAAGGAGCAGAAGTTTTCCCAAGGAATAGAAGTGTAGAAGTAAAAATACACTGAAGCAGAATAAGTGTTTCTTCTAACTTCACTGAAATATTAATGGTCCCATTAACTCCTCTTTACAGAGTTAGGTTTCATCTTGCCTCCTGCCTTCTCCACCCCTTGTCCTGACACTTCTCTCTGTAGCCACCAGCACGACCACTGAGAACAGTCGCACGTCTCTTGTTCCCATAGTTGGACTTGCTCAGCAGTTTGGGAACAATAGCTGCTTCATTGCTGAGTTGCAAAACAAAAAAGTCAAATGTATCAGCAACAATGCATGAAAAATGGGATGAAGAGCATTCCACAGGAAGGGATTTTTTCATGCCAGTATATATGTATGTGGGATTTCTGGGAGGTGGAATCTAATAAGTAAGAAATTCTCCTTCTGTAGATCATCTGCCAGCTCAATGCTAAGAGATGTAAACCATGAGATTTACTAATAATAGCAGGAAGGAAGAACCCCATTAAAAAAAGACAGCAAAATTGGAATGATTTGTGTGTGTAAAACCAGGGTTATTTTCCCTCTCTGTAGCCTGTTTTTATGCTCACCCTGGAGAAGATACCATAACAACAACAGATCTTCACTAGAATAATCTTGTTTTCAACGGAGGATTGAAGGACAGAAGACAGATCTAGATTACAGTTGTTATAGGAATGGTCATGTGAAAATGATGTGAAGATGTGAAATTAGGTGCAGTTGTGACTGAAAATTTATGATTCTTCTTATTCTACGCCTGTATCAGGTCAGGAGAAACTTATGGAACTGACTCACTGTGTCCCTTTAATAGCAGGCTCAATTTTCTGTGAGCTGCTTTCATTTTTAAATTAGGTGCAGCATCATTTGCCTTACAGACGCTGCTGTCTCAGCACTTGCTGGTGGGTTATTGTCAAGGATTCAATTCACTGCTTTTGCTAAATACTAAAAGGAATGTCAGAAAGCGCTGCTCTGTTCTTCACAGATAAAAATGATACATCTGAGTCCTACCCTTGTAACTATTATTTTAAAATGCTGAGATTTTAATGTTTTCTGTCTTTGGTTGTGTATTTTAATGTTGCAGAGTCTGATCAACTATTTGATCCCCTTACACAGTACTTTACCACAGTTCATTCCATTCTGAAACACTCCAAGAAACAGCTGAAGATCTGTTTATGTTTGTCATGCAAAATCAAGAAACATTGTAAGTTAAATGAATTCAGTCAACAGATAAGATGTGAGCTTCTCACTTGGAGTATTTAAAACAAAGTTTGGGAGTTTTTTTAGCATGTTTTTCAGTCTCGTGGACTGAGACATATCAGTCAATGTTTGAATCAGATTTGAAGTCATCCTACAAAAATGGAAAACAAAACCTGGACTTTGTATATATTTTATTTAGTAGTGTTCTGCTAAATATAAACTGAATATTTATCCTAAATTATTTGATATGGAAAATCGTAAATTAATTTAAATGTAAAGCAACAGAATCTTGTTCCTTCAATCTTGCAGACAGTGATTTCAGGTAGAGTTCAGTTAAGGAAGCAACACGTGCTTGTAGAGCTGAGGGTGACATCGAGCAGTGTATTAGAACTAGATAGCTGGCAGTGTGTCTATTTTCAGGGTGTGAAAGTTTTGTAGAGGGGTGGAAAGGATAATGTTAATGAGTTGGTTTATTTTGGTGTTCTGGATTGCCAGCTGTGCTACTATAAGAGCTGATCCATGAGTGGACCGTAAGTCCGTTGCCAAACACCTGGGGACTTCTGCGAGAGGAATATAGAAGACTAAGGGGAACAGCACAGATGGATTTGATATGCCAGTGTGTCTGTCCCCTGCGTGCATGGCTCTACTGATGGCGGTGACCAGCAACAGAATTAAGAGTGCCAGTACTGTGAAAGAGTGAGCAGGCTTGTGTGTGGGAGAGAGGGGGTCTCCATTTCCTGTAGCTGTGCTACCATGTATGTGTGCACAAATGCAGGAGTTGATATTTATCTTTTGTAGAGCAGTGCTCTCTCTTGAGGCCTACAAAAGTTAATTGGGAAGGAGGCTGGCTCTGATGCTTTTCAACTGTCAATATTTGTGTTTCTGAGTACTTAAGATTAATTCCTACGCTTGCTGCCACAAAAGGAGACTATGCATGTGGTATGCATAAATGAGAACCTGGAGGGGAATAAGAAACAACTAAAGGAATATGTGAAATAACTACACTTTCAAAATAAATGCCAATTGCAATGTAATTACACATGGACAAGCTTGTTCTCGTAGTGTCATGATAAACTGTAGGTCTTCCTTCTTTGGAGGGAAGAGAAATAGCAGCACTTGGATGCCAGCTTAGTTAACAGTGCAGTGGGGAGGAAAGGAAAGCATTTAGTCACCCCATTGGAAAGGGAGCCTACCTGTAATGGCATGCTCTTCACTGTGGAAGTATGAGAGTTTTAAAGACATGAGAAAAATTAATAGAAAGGGAATTTATCAGAAAATATAGATCTGTAGTTTCAGGAATCACTCATTCACTTGACTCTAAAAAATCAATTTCTTTCTCGTAAGTGACTCTCATTCTGTATATTCACGCTGAAAGGATATTGCATAACTGTTGCTTGTTATTCTCAATATATTATTTAATGCGAAAGCCACAGTTCAGCATTTGATCTATTTGTATATTGTTCATACACATGAGAACAGACTTCTTTGGATTCAGTTCATTGTACCTTAAAAATAATTTGAATACCACAGGTTTCACTGTAAACAAGGAAGAATTCCAACCCTCGGGTCATTGCCGGCTGTTTTTAGAAAAAACACTTTTGGAATTGCTTCAATAATTATCAGTGTTCTCTTATAAAACTAAATAGGCTTTTCCGGTGATGGAAAGAAGATTAAAGGTCATACAGTTCAAAATAACTTTTTGAACACTGCCAGATTAAGGAAAATGAAATCTCCCATTAATATAGTCAGCTTCTTTAAGACTTATCTGTTCATAATGGTGTATGAGCTGAATTTCTTCAGCCTCTTTCAACTTAATGGGACAACATGACTTGCCTAAGCCCCTTTCATAAAATGTGAGTGACAGTGGCCCTGCCCTTGAACCTCACATTGAATAAAGCACAGCTGACAGTGTGAGCAGAGTTTTCCTCTGAAGTTGTGCTGTTCTGAGAAGTAAACAGATGTTGCCCTGAAAAATTAAATTTCCTTTGGAATAGTGGATTAGTGTTTTGTTTCAGTTATGTATCACTAAAATGCAGCAAGTCTTAGAGAAGAAGAAAATCTTGCTTATGTAATTCTGTTTGAGTAGTTTTTCGAATGAATTTGTTGAAAAATGTGAATATATTTGCTCATATGCATTGTCCCAGTATTAAATATTGCAGAGATGTAGTGGATAGACATAGGCATTCGTGTTAATACGAATGTAACATACAATGTTAGTACACAGAGTGTTCTATACATATGCAAACTAATTTGACTTTTTTTTGGCCAGTGTACTTGTTCCAAGCTGTGTTGT